GGCTGTGAATCGAACCAGTGATCCTGTTGTTCGGAGCTCACACTCTTGAATGAGCTTTTAACCAACTGAGCCACTCGGCCGGCCCTCAGAATTTTTTATATACCTTTTTGTGTCAAGTTTTTTCTACTGTATTATGAGTTTGAGCTGATAATGTTAACCCATCTTGTAATTTAGTCAAATAACAAGTTTTCAAAGGGTACTTGGCATTGTAATAACAACTTGTTATATTTGCAAGAATAGTTGGGTCCCCTTTAGGCAGTTATAATCCAAAAGAAATGAAATACATGTATTTAATGTTCAATAAACATAGAAATAGAAGAATAATCAGGCTAGCAAGTCAGAGAAGAATATTAGATCAGTGGTTGTATTGTATAATGGTGAAAAGTTTTATTAGCGTATTGAATGTCTAATGTGTATTAGATATCTATTGCTGCATAACAAAGTAACCCAATATTTAGCATCTTAAACATAAATATTTATGATTTCATAGAGATTGTGAAGGTCAAGAATCCAGGAGCAGCTTAGCTTATTAGCGATGGTTTAGGTCTCTTAGGAGATGACAGTCAAGCTGTGAGCTGTGTAAGCAGCATCTGAAGACATGACTGGAACTGTAAGATCTGATTCCCAACTCATCCCATGGCTGTTGCAGGAAGCTTCAGCTCTTCACCATGTTGGCCTCTGCACTGAACTGCTCAGGAAACAGCTTTTCCCAGAGCAAGTGATCTGAGAGAGTGACTAAGGCGGAAGCCAGGGTGTCTTCTTTAACCAAATCTCAGAAGTGACATGACTTCTGCTGTACATTGATCACATAGACCAATCCTGGTATGATGTGAGAGGGCTGTCAATACCAGGAGGCAGGAATCACTGGGGCCCATCTTGGAGGCTAGCGGCTACCATTGGGGTGGACTTTTAAACTATGACGTAGGAGAAAGTGTGGAGGGGACAGAAAAGGGAAAGTGTCCCATGGTGCTTGCCCAGATTCTTGAATGCAATGAATCTACTATTGGTGACATTGAGAGGATGGGTTGGCATTTCCAGTTGGAGACTGATAAAAGATAAAAAGTAACAATCACAAGTTTGATGCAGAAAGCAGTGGGAATCCTTTTGAGGATTTTGTGTGATGGAGTGGTGTTTAAGTCATCGTCAAGGAAGATTGCTTAAGCTGTACATACAACCTTATAGAGNGAGCCACTTGGCTGGCCCTACAATATTCTTTGAATGTCTAAAAATTATCATTTTAGAAACTTCAGTTACTTTGGGACTAAATGTAGTCAGTGAATAAGTTTATGTGTATACAGGAGAATCAGTGTGAGAACATGCAGATTAGAAAGTTTTTAGTCACTGTTTCAGTGTCTGGCATTTAGTGAATATTTGCTGAATTTAAAATAATGGCTATTCAGCTTTATAATAAAAAAGTGCCTCCCAAGGTGTTAGTCTTCTGGGCTGTTTTTGTATTAATGAATTGTAGTATTAGAAGAAGTAAGAAAATGAAATGAAATTCTAGTCAATATTGCTATTTGTCAGGAGCTATAAAAGATGTTTTTAAAGCACATAGAGATTTGGGATAATCATTAACTTTCAGTTTGTTCATATGCTTCCTGACTTAATATAGTTAATTGGCTGTTGTAATTGAAAGAAAAGCTAATCTTACAAAGCTAAACATTAATTTGTTTATAAAACAGAATTGTTTATTTTATATATCTATTATAATCTACCTCAGAAATCATACTCCTTTATGTTATTAGTGGAAATTTGGTATAACCTTCACTTTTTTATCTTAGGAATGAGGGAATTGAGGTTCGTCTAGTAAAGAGGAGAGAATATAATGAAGAAACTGTTCGATGGGCAGATGCTGTCATAGCTGCAGGAGGTAATAGCTTTACAGAAGTAAAGATGTTGGAATACAGAAATGCTCTTTAATGCTCATTTTTCCAAACACCCTGTGGTCAAGCTGTAAATGAAGCCTTCAATGTCTTTTCTACAAAGAGGTAATTCTGTACACAGCAGGCTTCAACTCTATGTGTAATGTTTTATCTCTTAAACAGAATACTGGATTATATGGATGTTCATTATAATATTCTTTGACCGTCTGAAACTTATCATTTTAGAAACTTCAGTTAATTTGGAGCTTTAGGATCAGGTTTAAAAAGATCTGCTTACGTAACATTTCACTGTTAATGAATGAGGTTACTGTGAGGTTCCATGCATATATTTGTGTGTATCTATTTAAGCTTCAAATACGATTCAAAGGACTAGTTATAACTGTATTTTGGTTTATTATGCCAGTCTTTAAAAAAAAAGCTGAAATTGTTTAAGAGTTGAATGAGATTAGATAAATTTCATCCCTCTCTGGCCCCAATATACTTATACTTATTTTTTCCTGAGCTTTATTATTAAGTTGGTGAACATTTTTTCTAAAGCTTTTAAATTGACAGCATTTGTTGGAGAGAAAAATCCAAAATGGGACACTGTGTTGGATATATTCTCATTAAAATAAGCTATGAATTTGGAGAAGGGAAGAGAATTGGTTAATAGAAGTGACAGGATTAGAGCAGTGGTTCCCAGGTATACTACTGGCATCTAATAAGTAGAGGCCAACGATACTGCTAAACATCCTGCAGTGCACAGGACAGCCCCCACAACAAAAAATCATCTGGACAAAATGTCAGTCTTGCCACTGCTGAGAAATCCTGGATTAGAGTGGGACCAGTAATACGAAGGGGTAGTGGGTAGAAAGGAAGTGGAACAGACTGAAGCAGTTAGGATGGGTTGGGGGTGTGACTGTTAAAAGGACTAGTGTTCCAGTGATGTTAATAAAAACTAGATTTATATCAAGCCTGGTTGTGTCTTCTGTCCTTTAGGTGATGGCACAATGCTTCTGGCAGCAAGTAAAGTCTTGGACAGACTTAAACCGGTTATTGGAGTAAACACTGATCCAGAGCGGTAAGGAGAAGTGTGTTCTGTTTTGTTTGTTTGGCATTTTTTTGGCATGTTATACATACAGACATGCTTTGCTTTGCCGAGTAGCTGTTTATAATAAATCTTAAAATTTGGAAGCTCTCCTTTATTTTCTCTACCATGGTTACATTGTGGGGCTCTGTTGCTACAGGGAGTTTACTGTGGTGTGTGAAGTGGAAGCATTATGAACATTAGAACTATGCTCCCAGCACATTTTAGTGATGGAATTTAGGCATGTAAAATTGATCTTTACCTCTAGTAGAGTTCTCTTCTATGTAGTTGTTTTCAAGGAAAAGAGCTATTGTTTTTAGCTCAGGCATGAGGAATATATTTGCATTTAGCTGGCATTGGTGGTAGAAATTTTGATATGGTATGGACACGTCCTCACATCGCACTTCCCAGGTAGTGCGGGAGTAGTATCTGTGGCAGAATAGACCTGACCCTTGAGCCAGGTGAGTATTGGTGACCTGTGGTGTTGCTGAAGAGGGCAGAGTTCATAATGTTCCATCTTCTGTCCTTCCTCACGGCTCTCATCTACATTCCTGGTTATGCCTCCACTGATTTTCTGGTGCCTTTATTGGCTTACTGAACAGACCAAACTGTATTGCCACTTTTTTTTTTCTTCCCTCAGCTTCACTGACATTTACCCTCATTCTGTTCCAGCCACCCACAGCCATGACTATGCCTGGGCTTTATGGTCATCTGGAATCTCCTCTCTCTCAAATCTTAATTCCACTCTGATCACAGCCTCCTACCTTAACAGCAGTCTCATTCCCTCAATCCTATAAATCTGCCCTTTGACTTAGTGCATTGATCCCCGCTATTTCCTTAACTTAATGCTCCCTTACTTTATCAATTTCTTTACAAATTTCATAAATATTTTCTATCATTATCTTTCTGCTTAATCCTATAGATCAGTCTCTCCTTTCTACATCAGCACTGCTGAAGCCATCTGGGGGGAAAAAATCACAGAAACTCGGGCTTGGTGGCCCCAAATTTACTTTCAATTTGTAGTTTCTAGCACTGAGAACTGTACTCTTAGAGTGGCACAAAAAAACCCCAATGGCCCAAGTCATCTCCCCTGTTCCCTGTGGTAGCTACTTCAAGAGTGGGCCTTCAACTTCTGTATCCCCCTTGATTTCCTTACCCTTCTTCTTTCAACATACCCATCTCTTATCTCATCAAGGAAATGAGTCACTGGATTAGAACTTCAGGTTTGCTCATGCTTAAAATAAAATCTTGACCTGTCATTTGTTGCCTTTTTCCCCCTCTCTCCTTTCGCTTATGATTCCTTTTATTCTAAAAACTTAAGACTCCCATCTTTCAAGAAAATGTAATAAATCCTTTACCCTGTGTCACTCTCTTGGTTATTGTCCCTCTTTGCCTCTCCATTACCCCTAAGCTTGGTATCTCCACTTCCTTCCTTCACAGTTATTCTCTAAGCCTTTGTAGTCTTTCCTGGATTTGCCCCCATCCACTTCATTGACATTGCCTTTGACTTACAAACTGGTGGTATCCTGGTTACTGAACCTACTGGGCAATTTAGTCTTTGTCTTACTTGATTTCTAGGAAATTTTGTGCTAACTGCTTCCTTGTTGCAGCTGTACTTCTTTGACATTTTTGATGCCCCTTTCCTCCTATCTCTGGCTACTTCTTTGTCTCCATCTCTTTTGAAAGATCTAATTTTTTGGTCACTGCTTAAATACTGGTGTTTTCATATGTTATCCTCTGGGCCATCTATTTTCTCCTTCACTCTCTATACTTTTCTAGAATAACTGATTTGTATCTAGGGTTTTAACTTAGATCCTGGTGACTCCAAAATCTTTATCTCTAACCTCGCTCCTGCTTCCACTCTCTTTTCTCCGCGGCAGCCAGAGTGATCATTTTATGAAAGTTTGATAATATTATGTGACTTCTCTGCTCTGCATCTTATGATGGCTCTCCATCTAGCAAAACAGGATAAAATCTAATTCTTTACTGTGACTAGGGTGACCAACTTGTCTTGTTTTGCCAGAGACTTTCCCAGTTTTAGCACTGAAAGCCCCATGTCCCAAGAAAATTGTCAGTCGCAGACAAACTGGGATAGTTGGTCACCTTAACTGTGACATATATCTGGCCCCTGACTATTATTCTGTTTCCTTATCTCCTTTTATTTTTCCCTTCCCTCATTCTATTTTAGCCATACTGCCCTCTACTTGAGTATCCAGTGGCATTAAAAATGTAACATTTCTGCAAATGAACCTATTTCCTTTCCCCTCCCCCACCACACTTGATGAATGGAGTCATAATCTGCACTGAAGCTGAGGTACCCATCCCTCACCTTCTTTATCAAATTGGTCTAAGGATCTAGTTCTAAGTTTTAGGGATCCTACCTTTGAATCCATTTCTTGCCATCCTCACTGTTACTAAACATAGCTCAGGCCTTTATAGATTGTTTTTACTACAGTAGCTTCCAGCCTCGCCTTCTCCAACCCATCCTTTAAACTTTGCATTCATATTCTTTCCAGAGTGCAAATCTGATTGTATCTACTCCTTAAGTAAAATCTTTTAATTGAAATTCATGACCTTCAGGATGTATTGCAAAATCCTTAGTATAATACATATTAACTTGCACTGTCTGTTGCCTANTTAGTTTGGGTTGAACCTAGGAATATTAGAACAGTCTTCTAAGACTTTTTGTTCTTAAGTCTTAGCTACAATGAAAAGATATTAGTTACTAAAATCATTTGCTCTTTATATATTTTAATTCAGTGCAACCTTAATAAACACAGCTCATTTTTATGTGACTTTTAGATTTAAAAGAGGGAATTCTAAAACAGTGTGTTCCAATAACGTGACTATGCTAAGTAATTAGAATGTGCCTTATACATTACCCTTGCATTTGATGTTCTCATTCAGTGTTGAGTTCCTGCCATGAACCAGGTAGTGCCCTAGGTGCTTTATGTCTCCTAGTGTGTGATAGTAAGAATAGTGAGATAGGTATTGTGGACCTCATGCTAAACACTAATAAAGTCAGGACACTAAAGTACTTTATTACCACTTAGTAAGTATGAGCAAAGGTACAAAGGCGAGAATGAGCATGGTGTGGTAGGAATGTGAAATTGGAAGGCAGATAATGGTGACAAACAGAATAGGCAAGGGCCAGATTTTATTTATTTTTTAGCATAGGGATTTGGTCTGTGAATGATCCCAAATTTTTAATGTAAAAATTTGTGTATCTGCATTTTTTAAAAAGAGAATGTTTAAAATGTTTTCATATTTTTCAAAATGTGAAGAATATAGGGTTAGAGTGTTAAGTGGAGTATTTCTTACTCCTCCCCTCCTCAAAAGTTAAGAGCCACTGAATTAGGTGAGAGCTGTGTGTCTCATTAGGCTATTCCTTTTCATCAGGATTATCTGCTGATGCCATGTGAGAAGACTTATGAGGCAGTAGAATAATTCCGAATTTCCTGAAAGAATTTTTTCTTCTAAACCTTTCCTTAACCATCTTGATAGATCCTAGGACAGCTACTTTTCAAAGTTATTCATGTTTGTGTTAACATTTGTTTTTAAGTAGGGCATCATACTGGGAAAAGATTTCTAACCTTTTTTATGATATAAAGAAATACAAAAATTTTAAAAATTTTAAAAATGTTAAAAAATTTATTAAATAGTACAAAAGGGTATACAATGAAACGCTCGTCTCCCTTTAATTTCATATCTCTAGTACTAATCTCTAGACATGATCACTATATATATAGTTGTTTTTTTAATATAAATAAAACAGAGAAGTNAAACTTTTTATTGTAAAAAAATTTAAATATATACAAGAGTAGGCAAAATAGTATAATGAATCCCCATGTACCCATTAGCCAGATTCAGTTCTTATCCACTGATGCCCAATTTAGTTTCCTCTGTTCCCCTACTATCTCCTTTTGTCTCATTATTTTCAAGTAATTTTCAGCCATCATATCAGTTCATTCTTAAGTACTCAATAACTTAAAAATCTTTTTAAAAAATCCTAGTCTTAGTGAAAAAAATGAACCTCTGGAAAAAAATGAGAAGTATTATTTAAAAAGATTGGTTAATATTTTATTTTCCTGAGGGCAGTGAGAACTACATTTCTAAAGTGACTTTACTGGTCATTATTTGAAACAATAAAATTAATCATATACTATCCTATAAAATTATTTTATAACCATCTTATAAATGAAAACATTATAATTAACAGCTTTAATTTATCATCTTTTCTGCTCAGCATGGTGTGTCACTTGTTGAAAAGTAGATTGAGAATTAGTAAGTTTCCCATCTCCTTCCCCTTTTCTTCTCCCAGTACAGTAAGTCCCTGACTTACGAACATTCGAGTTGCGAACTTTCACAGATATGAACAGACTCGCATTATGAACATTTGTAGATGCAAACAAATTTCAGAAGTAGCTCACGTGTCTGCCGGACATTGTCACAGTTGTGCTGCTGTGTGCTTATTGTACAGCGCGATAGTGTACAGTAGTGCAGTGCTCAGTCAGAGCCAAGGATGTCCGGAAGCAAGAGGAAAAGCAGTGGTGATGTGGAGGGACTGCTAGGAAGCGCAAAGCAATAACCATGGAAACAAAAGTGAAAATAATTGAGAGATTGGACCGAGTTGAAAAGATGGTAGACGTCACTCGTTCTTATAACATGAATTGTTCAACCATTGGCTTTACATTGTATACTGTATTTGTGTCAAAGGTGTATAAGACTCACTTTGTTGGACTTATGAATGAGTCAGTCTTACGAACGTTCTCCCGGAATGGAACTCATTTGTAAGTTGGGAATTTTTACTCTATTCTCATCCTTTAAAAATGAGCAAAATGATATCATTGGAAAGAGTACTAGCCTGGAAGTTAAGAGACCTGGCTAAACCACTGACTACCTTTGTCACCTTGTACAAGTTTCCTTTTCTGCAAAATGAGGGAAATGGAACAGATAAAATAGTAAGATTACTTTATCTTCTGAACTGTGATTCTGTAAGTTATATTTTATGCATATAATATAAACTCTCAGTTATTTAGCCCCTGCTATTTTGAATATACTGTGCCAGGTACTTTTTATACATTGACTGTAATCCGTAGAGAAATCCTGCAAGAAAGTAGTAGTGTCCCTATTTTGTAAAGGAAGAAAATGAGGCTTAGCAAGGACAGATAATTAGGCTGAGGTCACACCATTAGTAAGTGTCAGAACCTGGATGCAGGCACAGGTGTGCTTGACCACAAAACCAATGCCTTTTTCATTACCAGCTTCCAAATGGAGACGGGGAGCTATTTAGAGGTCACACAGTTGAAAGATGAGTCACTAGGTTGTACTGAAGAATTATCAGGCTGGCCGAGTGGCTCAGTTGGTTGAGTTCGCTCAAGAGTGTGAGCTCTGAGCAACACGGTCACCAGTTCGATTCCCACATGGGCCAGTCAGCTGTGCTAAGCTGCCAACAAGTGGCAGGATGGCTCAGCTAAAAAATGAAAAAAAAAAAAAGAATTATCAAGGTGAATTTGCTAATCCCAATGAAATAGTGCTTATGCTAAAGACAGTGGGCTTTGACTTCTGTGTGTGTCTGTGTGTGTGTGTGTGTGTGTGATTTTGATAGTTTTAGTTTTNTTCTTTGGAAGTACTTGATCATTTCTACCTCTGTAGCTTCTAGAGTAAAACTAAGTTAAATGTGAAGACAAGCATTTTATGAGATGGATAAATACATTTTATCACTCTTGAAAAATTGTTTCAAGGAGAATTAGGGTTTATTTTGGAGAGACAGGCTTCATTGCAACTATAATATTAGGGTGACTTTGAGGTTTATATTATGAACTTTAAATAAGATACATGATTCATATGTTAATAATGTTGAAGTATAGATTCTATTAAAACAAATATGAATATTCTAATGTTTTATGAGATTTATATCATAACATTTCTAAAATTTAAAGAGCTATGGAGAGTTTTTTTCTTCATTACCTGCAGGGTCCGAGGCTTCAGGACCCCAGCTTTTGCCAGTGAGAGCACTGAATGAAGTCTTCATTGGGGAAAGCCTATCATCCAGGTACATTTAAACCTGTGATCTTGAATTTGGAATTTAATGTTTTAGTCTATTTTAGATTTTATTCAACTTCTGCAACTTAGGATTTGTGAATAATTATTATTGTATAAGTAATAGAAATGAAATGTTTGATGAAATAGTTTCGAAACTTCCATACACATTAATACACAGTAAGAGGAAAGAACGTTCTATGACCAAAAAAGTTTGTGAAACCCTAGGTTAAACAAAATGCTGCAGTATTTTCCAGAGCCTTTAATCTATCATATAGGTGCTTTATAAACGTTTAAGAGAATGATGTAAGGAAAACATTTGCAATTGATATAAAACTTTTATAGACAGTCCATATTAAAACTTCCCTACTAATTGTCTTAATAATGTCCTTTCAAGCTGATTTGTTTGTTTGCTTGTTTTTATTCAGGATCCAATTAAGGATCATACATTGCATTTGGCCATCATGGCCCTTTTGAATTAAGAACAGGTTCTTAGCCCTATCCTGTTTTGTCATTCACGATACTAATATTTTTTAATGGTCTAAGCCAGTTGTTTTGTAGAATATCCCTTAGATTTTTTTTTCTCTGCATGATAAGATTTGGACTAAACATTTTTGACAAGAATACTGCATAAGTGGTAATTGCATCCTTCTTAGTACAACATCGTAAGGCAATTGTATTCACAGTTTGAGATTTATAACCATTATTAGCAAAAAATTAATAAAGTTCTTCATTAGGAGTATAAAAATATACTATGTTTCATTACTGATAAAATCTGTTTTGTGGGTGTTGAATATAATTTAGACTTAAATTGTTAGATTTTTTTTTTTTTTCAAAACTTTTTTTTGTGTAACATTAGTTACCAGTTATACAATGACTGCCATAATACAAAGTTAATTTAACTCTCGGTAGTACTTTAGAACTTGCCATCTCATTTTCATATATGTAAGTAAATTTGAGTTGAAGATTAGAGATGAATCCTTGTTCCACTCTCCTGCTACCAAACCATGTGACCTTTTGAAGTCCATGCAGTTGATTCCCTAATTTACTGAGAATTCCATATATTCTAAAATTCTGTTTTCTGTAAGTCATAATATTCCTTTCATATTAAATTCCATATGATATTCCTTTTGTAAGAGGTTTAATTATGTTCAGAAAGGTTTGTCTTAATCAGAAAAACTATCTACGTCTTAACCAGTGACTTAACATAGGTAGTACCAAAAAGAACGAAGCCTGATTCAACAGAATGATTTGAACAATCTTTTTGAGTAGTTGTAATTATTTTGATTAATGTAATTTAAAATTTATTTGGTAAAAATACATTGTGCTGTGTGTAATATGTGAGTCATTAAGGATGTAAAGATGAATAAGGTAAAGGTAGTGATATCTATAAGTTTTTGGACAGTGGTAAAATACGTAATTTAAAAAATTATTAAAAGTAAAATTCTTCAAGTAAATAAAAATATTCTTGAAAGAACTTAATAAAGTGTAAAATATATTTATTTTATCATAGTGAGACATGCTATATAGTTTTTTCTTTTGCTATATATATCAAGTTTGAAGCAATATGGAAACAAATAATGGATGCTTTTATGTGACTGTGAAGAGAAAAGGAAGAAAACTTTAATCAGTGATATAATCTAGTCACTATTGCTAAAGACATAAGATGGAAGAGATCAACAACTTTCAATGAGATTGCAGAAAGTCTGTATTTAAATAAATAGATGACAAAGGTAAAAATGTGAGTTTATGCTTACTCTAGGGAAGCCATTTGATGGCTTAAGTTATTCTGTTTGTATATTTTAAAGGTTGTAGCTTCTGAGAGCTCTAAATAACTTATAACAGGAGGAAAACTAAGATAAATTGATGGACTTTGGGAATTCAGTGAAGTCTCAATAGGAGATTTTGAAATTGAATGCTTTATTTTCTGTGGCAGTAGTGATTTGGGGTTGGTCTATCTCTGATGCTCTGATGCTGCTGATGCTTTTTGTGTTCTTTGATGCCTCATTTTATATCTTTACTAAGATAAGGTCAGCAATTGGTTGGTTTCTGATGTTATTGAAAAAGGTTTCACTATTGAAGGTATTAGAACTTATTTTTAAAGATTCTATGACATAGGCACTTGGCAGAAAGGAAATGAACATTTACCAGATGCCTGCTATGTCAGGCACTGTGTATATTGTGTATGTTATCACATTCAGTGCTCACAGTAGCTCAGTGACAAAGGTTGTTGTATTTATCAGTGGAAAATTAAGATTGAGGTTTGGAGAGTTCAAATAACTTGCCCAAGGTCATATAATTAGTTAGCCTCAAAACTGTCATATAAACCCAGTATTTCTGATTCCAGATCCTGTGTTGAGGCTCACTATGCCCTGAAAGCTTAAGAGCCTTGCTTGGAAAATATAAAGTGCAGCAATATTATTCCTGCCTCATTTATAATGTTCTTAGATTTAAGAACATTTTAAAAGCCCAATTTATTGTCTTTTCTCCTATTTGTTCTAACCTAGAATGTCTTATTCTTGGGCTGTATCAGTGGACAATTTAAGAAGAAGTATACCCACTCTAAAGGGACTGTGAGTTTTATTGCTGCCTTAAAAATATTTCCCTGAAACAAAATTTCTATGAGTTGACTAATCTTGGTAAACCTGCATGAAAGAATCACACTAAATTAGCTGATTGTTTTGGGCTCAAAATCTCTCACCTAACTATACTACTCTTCCTCTCCACCTCTGCTCTTCTATCCCCACTTACCTCTAATCTCTTGTTTCTGTGTGATTCTGGCATAATAGCAGCCATTCCAATGGATTTAGCTGGCTTGTCTGTATATAATAGGCTCCTAATGTGATTAAAATTCCTAATTTTCTAAGAGGACATAACAAAGCTATGAAATAGATTAAATGTGAATATTAAGCCTGCTATCTTTTATTTTTATGAAGAATGCTGACTTCAGAGAAAAAATGTAAAGGAGTTGTATCATGTAAAACCTTCACAGATTCAGAGCTTGGCAGGAAAAATTGAAAGGGTTAGAATAAGAGATAAATTATCCACTGAGTGTTAGTGTTTGCAAGTATGTCTAATAATTGTCATTATTTTGAAAAGATGTATTTTATTAAGGGTTTATTTTAACTTTTTTATTTGCTGGAGAAAAATAACCCAGGGTTGATCAGTGACACCAATATTTTAAGATACAGTTTACAAAATAGGCTTTTGTATGTTTCAAAAGTTCTTTGAATAGTTGCAAATCATTTATACATTCATGCAGTTAAAGAATAGTGTCATTTTTGCTGGTGTCAGAAAACCCATTTGATTTCATTTTACGAAATACTCTAAGAAGTATAAATCTTTAAAGAAATTATAGTTTTAGTTTTATCTCCAGTTTTGTCCACTACTTAAGTACTGGTTGAGAATTCTCTTTAGAACTTTATTATCTCTGTAGCTTACTATTAATTCAAAAAGCACATTAGTATGTAACTTAAGAAACAGAAGTTTAACAGAAACTATTGGTAACTTGCAGGATTAAATACAGACTGAGATATATCAAGCACTAGCTACCAGGGATGAAACTTGCCTAAGAATGGTATTTTCTTTTGGAATTCTGAAATAAGGCTTTGTATATGTTAGATTCCATAAAAGTAGCAGCAGCAGCAATTCTAGGGAAAAATTTACAAGAAGCCCCTGTTTGAAGTGTTGAAAGTATGGATAGAAAGGAGCCTATAGATCAGAATGATTCAGACATGCAGATTTTTTTTTTAAACTTTTCCACTTAGAATTGACTTTCAGTATTAGAATTAGCATCATGATATGTGCGCCTACTAAGGTATATCTAAGTCACACTGGTCTACTTAAATTTCATCAGTTCTGAAAAAGATTATTTTTGTTTTATTTACTGTGAGCCATAAGTTCAGCAAATCCAGTTTTATATTCTCAATCATAGGGCTTCCTACTATGAGATTTCAGTTGATGATGGTCCATGGGAAAAACAGAAGAGTTCAGGGCTCAATTTGTGTACTGGAACAGGATCAAAGGCCTGGTGAGTAACTTGGGATGTTGCTTATCAACTTTTGTGAAATATTTTAAGTAATGTAATTTGCTTGTTACCTCATATAGGCGTGTCTGAGGTCTCTGATACCTAAGAGGTAGCCTGGTTGGTTGGCTCAGTTTCTGCTTTAATCGTGGATTGGGTCCAGAATTCTTGTCTTGACTTCTTTGATTACAGGTGCAGCCTAAATTTGGTCATTACTTGGTCATTATTTAGCCTACTGCATGAGGTTTGTAAAGAGAAAAAAGAAAATGAGAAATCCTTTTAGTACTACGTATTTTTTAAAATGAAGAATATTTTAAATAATAGTGAAGAAATGAAAACAAAGCACCATACAAAACACATGCTGGAAGTTTGTGCATTAAAAGCCTAACCAGAGATAACCTAGGGGCTTTAGTATCTTGTTTGCCCCGTAGCCTCTTTCTGGGTAGGCTCTTCTGCTGCTTAGTGCACATGCACATGCCTCCCAGGCTTCTATCTGTGGCAGTCTTCTCCCCTGAGGACAAACTCATTCTAAACTTGACGACTAGAGAGAATGTTAACACATTGTTTGCGGGAAACAAGTAAACTCGTCATAGCGCTTTTTTATACCAAAGTGCGGGAGTTAACTCAGGTATAGAGACCTCTTTGTTAGAGGCGATTTGGCGGGAAAATGCCCGCTTACAAAGTGTTAATAGCATTTCAAATTCAGTGCATTTAAAATTGAGTTTATTGTCCTCAGTTTTTCTGCCTATGTTCCTTGTATTGCTTAATATTTGTTGATATCACTGTTTACCCTGAGTTCATACTCTAGAGAAAATACATTATGCCTCCAAACCTTGCTCTTACCCTCTACACATACCAGCCTCTGAATCCAGTTAGTTGTACTTCTGAAGTCCTTGACCCCCTTTTTCACTTTCTATTGCTATTTCTTTGGTCTAGGCCCCCATCTTTTTAGTGGATATTCTTTATTCTTCAGGCCTCATCCATACTACTAACAGAGTAATGTTTTGAAAACGTAGATAAAATATGACTATACCCCTTCTGTGCTTTAAAACTTTCACTGCCTCCTGACTCTGTTCAGATTACTTGGTCTGTGGTATAACGAATGACCTAAGAACCTTGTCTGCCTGTTGCTGCCCTGCCCCGACCCATCAGCACCCTGGAGACACTGCAGGCTACTTGCAATTCTTAGCACAAGCTGTGTTCTCTCTGGGCTTTTTGTTTTTGCTCAATGCAGCTTCTTTCTGCATTGAATGTTTGAACAGTCTCCACTTTCCATCCACTGGCTGAAACATCCAGTCTTTAAATGTCATTCTCTGTAGGAAATCTTAGTTTCTTTCACAATCATAATTAATCCTTTTTTTTTTCTTCCCCAGCACTTTTTTTCTAATTTCAGTATTATACCACTTACCACATTACTAGTTCTCTAATAAGCTAAT